GGGCAGGACCAAAATACATGTGAGTGATTGACAATCTGGTGGCCACATTGTCTCCAACATTTCTGCACTTCTCCTCTATATCTACTAGTAATTTCAGGCGTAATAAAGTATCTAATTAAGCACTTCCATCCAAATTCCTTCCATCTCTTAGAGCTGGTAGATGTCTGTTGAGTCACACACATTGAAAGCCAATCACCGTCAGTAATCCTTACTCCCAGTTCTTTCTCCCATTTTGACCTAATATTCAAGGTGTTATTTCCATTCTGTTTCTGCAACCCCTTATATAATTTAGAAACGGTTTTGCATGGGAGGTGAGTATAGGCATTTGTGAAAGTTTGCACTATAATATTACCCTCTGGGGGGACACCTTTTTTGACTTTGGTGTTATAGAAATGTCTTACCTGAAAGTATTTAAATAAGTCTCTGTTCTCAAGATGAAATTCCCTTTTCAGTTGTTCAAATGTTTTAAAGGTGTTYCCCTCTACAAATTGGTTCAAAACTACAAGGCCTCTATCTTTCCAGTCCAAGAAGGAAGAGTCCAGTTCTCCTGGCAGAAAGTTTCGGTTACAAGAGGGCCATATCAGGAGTCCAATGACATCTGCCAATTTGTACTTGACAACTATTTCTTTCCAGATTAACAACGTGTCTTCAACTATACTATTCCCCCTCTGGACCGAAACAATTTTACCTCCCAAGCATGTTTGTGGTTGGACCCCARCCTGCCCAAGTTCAATCTGTTTCCATCCAGGCTCCATTTCTGGGGAGCACCAGCATACCATAAATCTCATTTGAGCTGCATAGTAGTAATCCCTCAGATTTGGAAGGGCCAGACCTCCCTGATCTCTATTAATTTGGAGTGTTTTAAATTTTATTCTTGGTCTGGACCCTGACCAAATAAATCTTGAGATCATCCTATCCCAGGCGTGGAAGTGTGTGTTTGATATATTAATAGGCAATGACATAAAAAGATATAAGAATCGAGGAAGCAGGTTCATCCTCACTATTTCCATTCTGGCTGTGAAATCTAACAYTAGCTTTGTCCAGGTTGCCAAATCTTTTTGTATGATTTCAATAAGTTTACCAAAATTCAAACTAAATAGCTCGTCCGAATCTCGGGATATAATCACTCCCAGGTATTTTAGTTTTTTAGCATCCCAATTAAGTCTATAGGTTTTTCTTATAAGTTTACTAGGGGAGTAGTTAATMGTCAAAACCTGAGTTTTTGTGATGTTTAGACTGTAGCCTGATAGTTGACTAAACTCAGTTAGGGCTGACATAAGTTTAGGGAACGTTATATTTGGATTTTGGAGGTATGTGATTATGTCGTCTGCYAAGAGGCCAATCTTGTGTTCTATGTTTGTGAAACTAACCCCCTTTATCCCATCATCCTCTCTAATGGCCTGTGCCAATGGTTCAATGAATATTGCAAAAAGCGATGGACTTAGACAACATCCCTGGCGGGTTCCTCTGTGGAGTGTAAAGCT